TTTCATCACTCGAACATTTATCACTGGGAACCACGAATCAGAGTCAAGAGTGCTCAGCTTTTTAATGTAACAGTCAAATTTTCCCCGTAAACAATTCACACAAAAATTTATAAATCGGATAATTCTGCTGAAAATAATGCTCCAAGGATTGAAAAGTACTTCGTAGCTGCAGATTAAATGTGCGTACATGTCTACATAGGCCTGTGGCTTGTGTGGTAAGAAATGCTCAACTTCACATGATTGTCATCTCCCTCGGGAGATGACACATTAAGATTGTATGCCGGAAGTGAAGTCCTAGTGTAAGCTTCCATTAATCTTTCGGAGCCCTTGACGTTTTACTGAGTTCCAAATAGCCTGTAAACTGGTTTTCTTTTAGAAGAACTAGCTTAGGAGTGTGTGATCTACTTTCGGTTTAGGCCTATTTGAAAGCCAAGGAAAATTTAGACAAGTTTGGCTTTCTAGAAAGCCTGAAATGTCATCTCTTTGGCTTCATTACTGTCAAAGAATAAACAGCAAAGTGTAACTTTTTTTTCTAGTTATTACAGATTTTTCTATTCCTCTAGGGATGGGGAGTGGCAGTTTACATGAACAATTTTAGATTGGGAAAAAAAGTAATGATCAAACTCCAAAATCCTATGTTGTGGATAGGAAGGAAATATTTTAACTTTTGGGGGGAAGTACATGACTATACTTCAACAAACAGTGTGGACGGGGGGGGGGGGTGCAGTGAACAATTACAACAATACAGGGTTAAAAGAGCTAGGGCACAGCTTTGTAGATTCGATTTTCCTAAATTACATGCATCTGAATAATATCATTATTCATATGTTCCGAAAGCATTTCACACCGAACTATTGATAATAAAATAATGTTTTTGAAAAAGAAATCTTTCATATGGAAATTATTTGTCACTTTATGAATGTCATTTGTATCTTGTAAAATTTTATGTCTAAAATATCCATAAGATTTAATACCGGTAATTCAGTTTTTGGTGTGACGGTGGGACCCTACCTTTTTCAAGACTTCTGGATCCACCTGTTAATAAACGCTTTATAAAATATAAGCACATGCACACGGTACTGTCAAAATAAAGCACAAGATAGTGAAAACTGCCACCAGCATGATCAACGTCATTAACTTGCAAAGCACATAAGTCTTAAAATATGAAACCTTCGTTTTATACACACTTAGCTTATCCAAAGAAATAACGCATACGTGCTTTTAAAATTAGGCAAGTAATAACATTTAAATGCTCTCTACCAAAATTAAGTATTTTCAAATTATCTGGAAAGAGTCCTCATTTGGAAATTCCGAACTTACGAGAGTAAACTTTTTTTCTGCATACTAAACTTAAACAATTCTGTTTAATTATAATTTTGGCCTCATTTCAATAATATAGGAGAAAATGATTTGATGTCTTTATTGCCATTAATGCAATTATTAAAACTGCATTAAGAAAATGATAAATTGCAAGTTCTTTAATTAATTAAAAATATGAAAACTCCTTAAAAAAGAATAGAATTAGACATGCAAGAAAATACACATAATGATTCTTTGTGATCTTTAATCTTCCAATGTATGTAGTTTTTTATTGACATCAATGTATCCGCTTATAATATGTGCTTCTAATTTCTGAAGTTTTTTTAATTTACTCTTTATACATTCGATCGCTTAATCAGACTTGTATTATTTTTAAAAAAAATGGCTACAATTTTATAGAATGACTAATGAACCAAAATATTAGAGTTTTCATGTACTATCAGTCCACATCAGTTAATGCGATTACTTATATGAATGTTTTAAATTTGATGCTGTTTATCTCTGAATTCTTGGATCCACGCGTAAGCCACAGAGGATCTTTACACACGCGCTGACCTAGTTAGGAGACTATCAAGTTCTGACCATCATTTACGTAATAGCCAAGAAGACAATGCATGAGAACATACATGTACAGTGCACCCAGGCGATTTGTGTCGGACTCTCATATGATTTCTGTGCAGCTTGTTTTCTTTCTGAATAATAAAGCCTCTTTAGCGCTCATTGTTTACATCTAAATTTATATTTAGGGGAAAATCGCATCATCATCAAACTGACAGTCGGTGATCCTGGGGTGGCCTCAGTTTTGAGTTTCAATATATATAGATACAACACACCAAAACTATAGATATTTATAAGTGTATGGCTCAGTAACAAATTAAACCATCTGTTGTAATGATTTATTCCAATGTTTCAACCTGAATTTAAAATAAAACAAAATATAATCACATTATGATGATAACGTCGTTCCGTAATTTTTCAGAGCAGCGTGGGTTATACTGAATGCCACTGTATAGTTTAACAACACAATAATCACAATAATCATTGGCCCCCTTGGTTAGTCACAAAAACAGTGTCTACTTACACATTGATGGATCCAAAATTAATATAACTGAGCTATAATGTCACAAACACAGGATCGTCTATCCACGGGTAAGCAAAACAAACTTCCGTTGACTGTAAACAATGAAAAATAATGTCCGACTCTAAAAGTTCCGGAATATCGTTAACGATATACTCCCCCCACGTTTCTTGGCAAGTTCACAACTAATCACATTCATCCACTGGCAGTATAACTACAAGTCTATGAACAGATCTGCGAATGACAGTGTCAGTACACCCGTCATACCTTGCACCTGGTCCCACGTTCTTGTATGCACTGTGAGTCTCGTACTTTTCCGTTTTCCAGGCTCTGCCTCGGCAACTTGAGCAAGTTTCCACTTTCCACGAATTGTTTGCCTGGACTAACAAAGTCACCCTGCTTCAGATTTCCCTGTTGTATGCCACTTCTGTCTGAAAAAAGGGGGGAAAGAATCTCAATCCATCTTTTCCAAAAGGTATCAACCAGCTGTTGAATGAATTTCCATCTCAGCGTGGATTGCAATTTTCTTCTATTTGCATCTGAGGAACTCGAACTGTGGATTCCCTAACAGCAAATCATTCGGGCATAAGTATTTCCTTCTTTTGGGTCACACCCCTTTGGTCCCGATAGGTCGCTCATTTATTAAATTTGCAGCTTCAAACAACACAGTTTGCAACTCTGAAAACGTTAAAATTGAATCCCCAACAGCAATTTGCAGACATCGCTTCACAGACTTGATTAAGGATTCACTACAACCATTCCCCCATGGAGCTCCCAGATTTGATGACTTCCTTCTATTAAATTATCCAATTCCTTGCCTGCAGCTACTAGCTGTGTGCCTGCATCAGAAATCATTCGCTTTGGATTGCCACGAAGTGATACAAATCTCCTGAATACAACATGGAAACTTCCTGTGTCGTAACCTTCCGCTAAATCGATGTACACAGCCCTGCAATTGAGGCAATTAAACAATACCCCATATGCCTTTCCATGTTTTCGTCTTTTGACTGTGTCACGTATGGTATATGATCCAAACATATCAACGGCACAGTTATAAAATGGAGGTGCTGGATTCAGTCGGAATGAAGGTAAAACACCCATCTGTTGTTGTATTGTTATTTATCCCGCTTTCTGCACACAACACAGTTATCCTTGACTCGTCTAATGATTTTTCGAACCCCGGGGAATCCAGTATCTGCTTCTGATTTTTGCTAACGTCACCTCCAATCCTGCTGATCTTCATCATGAACACTGCGCACAACTAACTCCGTAAACTGACCCTTTCTTGGCAGCAAAGAGAATTCTCTCTGGTTCCATGATTGTTTGATCCATTCAGCCATGCGCTGTCCAACGCAAACAACCCCATCTTGATTGATGAATGGCCCAAGTCTTTGAAATTTCTTCATGCAATCATTTTAATTTTCCTGCGCGTGCTTAACCCAACTCCTTTCTGCTTCCACAGATGTCCCTGAAGTGATCTTGCTACAAATACCTCTAAATGTTTTCCATTTCACAATGGCTAAAACCATGCTGGAAACCCAAAAGTTTCTTCAGACTGGCAAACCGCTCTATATCTATAACAGCACATCCATGGGAAGAACGATTCTCAGAAGTGATTGACATTGTCACCCCAATAATATCAGGTATCTGATCGCTGTCTATGGTATTTTCTTGACTTATTGGTCAAAATTCAAATGGAGTTCTCAGAAAATCTGGCCCGTTTTCCATTTAGAGTCAGTCCCTAAAGCACTTGCTACTGCAACCCTTGTAGTCAGTCGGCAGGGTTCTGATCTCCTTGAACCCACCACCACTCAGTGGGATAGATGTACTTTGTATTTCAGCAACACGTGTTGCCACAAATGTCCCAAAGCCATAACCCCCGCTGTATTTGCGCTCTTACAATCATGGAGTCGACAATATGCACAATCTTACTGAATTTGAAATTCATTTTGTTCTAGTTTTTGACGCAGCCTAGATGCAAGCACTGCTCCACAGAGTTCAAGACGAGGGGTAGACAACTGCTTTGCTGGTGCAATTGATTCTTTGCTATCACTAGGCTCGATGTGTATTTGTCATCTTCGGTATGCCATCTGATGTAGGCACATGCACCGTAGGCTTGCTGACTTCCATCCGAAAATATAACAAGCATTGGATCACTTTCTGTGTTTTCCGGCATAAGGCATCTTTTGAATGTTAAATTCTGCAAATCATAAAATCCTGTAAAGAACTGAACCCACTTAGCCCTCATATCTTCACTCATAGGCTCATCCCATCCAATTTGATTTTCTTTGGAACACATGGTCCTCATGAGAATTTTTGCAGACAATACATATGGAGCAACCAGTCCAAGAGGATCATATATGCCTGCAACCTGACTTAGAACCATCTTGCGAGTTAGACTGTCCGGAATTGATTTTGTCCATCCTCGATATCATCCTCTGTATGCTTTCCACGTCTTTTTGGCGAAAAGTTCAGTTTTGCCTTGAACATCCAGACATCATCTTTGGGTAACCAAATCATTCCAAGAATGTTTTCCTGCTCGGCACATAACACATTCAATCCTGCAAAGTGGTCATCTTGATCACCAGAAACAATCCAGTGTTTTACATGAAACCCCCCAGCTTAAAAGTCTTTCAGTGTTCAGAATTATTTCCTTGGCTTCACAAACAGTTTCCCGAATGATAAATTCCCCTAACTTTTTTTATAACAATTACTGCCTTTGGATACTTCCCCATTCATTTCTGCTGTCATTCGCAAGGCCATGGTAGAGATTGCTCCGGGGTTTTTCTCCAAATGTGACTGACATTAAGACATAATGATCAGGGGGTCGTTACTGCAAGTCCCCCCAGACAAATCTGTGTGTGTCCTGATCTCTTTCCGACAGTTTGATTGCGTTGTACATCTTCGTGATATCTTCAGCAATTGCAATTTTTCTTTGCCTAAATCTGATAAAACCCAAAAGGTCGTTCAGAACTTTTGGGCCCCCTTTTCCCAGTAATCATTCAAAACATGACCCATGTACGAGGACGATGAATCGAATACGATCCGCACTGGTGTAGTCTTGGAATTTGGTTTTAAAACTTCATGGGGGGAAAGTTGGGTAGGTTTCATACCTTTGCACCTCTTCAGCCGTTAATTTTCTTGCAACGCTTCTCTGCACCATATCCGCAATCTGGTCACCATATGCTTCACTGTACTCTTGTCCAGCCTTTTCTAAGCGCCTTTCCGTGCATTTCAACCGACATACCGCTGCATTGATATTGTTGGGGAGAGACTTTGGATCCTTAATCCAAGGGTACGTAGTAGTCCAGTTCTTGCCCACTTCATCATACTGAAGTCCCTCCTTTATAAGATGTAACTCTCGTTCCTCCTTCAATGTGTAGCTTCCATTTCCCGGTGGACACTTCCCGACCTGCAACTTCCACACTTTGGTACACAATGCGTTCCCAGGCCTTCTATGTCGAAAAAATTGTCAACAGCATTCTTAAGGCTCTCATGGTTTAACCGTATTGGTTCGATTATCCTTCCAGAAGTATGGTGAATGCACACAAGATTTGACTCCGTTGTAACAGGTACGTGTAACTTGGCGTGACTTCCTCTAATGCAGTATCCAAATTGATTTCGCATCAATTGAAGATTTCCAATTTGATCAATTTTCTCAGGCAATAAGATGCAGCAATCAGCTCCTATCAGCAGGTCCACTTTTCCTTCTGGTCTCACTATTTCCCTCTTTTTAAACCCTTTAAAGAATTTCACAACTCCATGAACATCCACCTTTGAAATATCTGCTGTAATTTTGTTCATTCCATATACTTTTTCCACCCTTTCCAAAAGTCTGTCAGTGGCAGTAAGTATTCTTTGCTTTGAATACACTCAGATGTGTTTCCCACCTTCGTCACTGATAATGTCACTTCACGCCCCCTTAGTCCAAGCTTCCTAGCGGATTCAAAAGTTAAAAGAGAAATTTACACCAGGATCCCATAAGGTGGTCAATGGGATATTACCACTCTTATTTTGCTGATCATGAGAATGACTCCCTTCTTTCCCTGCTCTTCGTTAACAATGTTTACACTGTGATGGTGTGCGCTCGCGTTCCTTCACCCCCTGTAAGAAAGGATGATGAAATCTGCCCCATTTTTGTTGACGAAAAACTGTGATTTCACAGGGCTTTCTATAATTACATCTTTTTGATAGATGTCCACTTTTCAGGCAACTAAAACAAGCACCATTTGTTTCAGCAACTCCATCTTTGTTTTTCCATCAAGAGCAGAAAAACCGGTACAGTCCCCAATAGAATGATTGTCAGTCTCATGATACCAACATTTTTTCCTGAAAGAGACATCATTTCTGGAAGCATCGTGTATTGCTCCCTCTGTTTTCCATTAAGAAGCCATCTGTCACTTGTGCTAATCCTTCAATCACCTGTTGCATTTTCTGTTCATTTTGCTGATTTGATCTGTATAACATTAACAAAAGAATCGTCAAATTTCTCATTTTTTTTGTGAGCTGGTAATATTATGGATTTTTCCTTTTCGAGAAACACTGGCATTATTACTTTCTCGAATATCCGAAGTCATATATTCAATTGCAGCTCTTTCATCCAAAAGGAATCTCAACAAATCAGAAAACGTTGTAGACTTCAGTCTAAGTTTCAGCAAAGCCCATTCTTCTTCTGGATAGAGGGTAATAATTTCTCAATCTCACTGATCATGGTGGCATTGTCCATTTCTTTTTTCCCAAAACCCCTCCCCTTAGAAACAACCAACATCCCTCCACTATCTCCACCATTTCTGTAAACTTTGTGCTGTCTCCCCTCAGGAACTGCCTTCAATGCCCTTATGTCGGCCGAACGGTGTCCGCCAACTTTTGGCTTCCTACTTCAGATCAAGACGTTTAAACATTTCCTCAAAGTCATTATCTATCCCTTTATAATTTCAAAAGGCTCTCCAGATAAGGAATTCTTAAAGCAAAGGGATCTTTTTCCTTTTTGGAATCATGTGAGTAAAATAGTCGACTTTAAAAATCGGGTAATTTCGAATCTTGCCGCTGAAGTGTGGCGGGTCTAATTTTTTCACTTTCAGGGATTGTTCTTTCACGCATTCTTTCACGCATTTCTCTTGCGATGTGATTTTCTTGGTAGTTAATTTGAGACAAAGGGACCTGGCCTTACACAGCTCTTTGTTAAAATGTTTATATCATGGTTTGCTTCGTCCATCTTTGGTTTATATTTTCATCATCTGAATCAAAGTTTCTAGGTACTCACTATGTCGTACTTCCATATCTTTATATGACTGTTCCAAATCACTGAGCATCTGTTTGACAATATCTGATTCCTCTTCATCCTGAATTTTCTCCCAAAAAGGGGTCCAAAATTTTTTGGAACCTTCCCTTTGCAGTACTTCGCTTTTTCCGTAACATCTTCCAATTTCCTCTCCCATGTTCTCCAATGTGTTGAAATGTATGGCTCAGTAACAAATTAAACCATCTGTTGTAACGATTTATTCCAATGTTTCAACCTGACTTTAAAATAAAACAAAATATAATCACATTATGATGATAACGTCGTTCCGTAGATTTTTCAGAGCAGCGTGGGTTATACTGAATGTCACTGTATAGTTTAACAACACAATAATCACAATAATCATTGGTCCGCACTTCGCGTTAGTCACAAAAACAGTGTCTACTTACACATTGATGGATCCAAAATTAATATTACTGAGCTATAATGTCACAAACACAGGATCGTCTATCCACGAGGTAAACAAAACAAACTTCCGTTGACTGTAAACAATGAAAAATAATGTCCGACTCTAAAAGTTCCGGAATATCGTTAACAATACAATAAGCATCGTACTTCTTTTCTAATTTTTCCTTGGCTTTCTTCAAATAGGCCTAAACCGAAAGTAGATCACACACTTCTTAGCTAGTTCTTCTAAAAGGAAACCAGTTTACATGCTACTTGGAACTCCTTGTGTAGATTCTCACTTGAGATATTGTAAAACTCGAGGATTCCCGAAAGATTAATGGAGGCTTACACTAGGACTTCGCTTCCGGCATACAATCTTAATGTGTCATCTCCCGAGGGAGATGACAAAAAGAAGTACGATGCTTATAAATATCTATAGTTTTGGTGTGTCGTATATATATATTGATCCTCAATACTATGCCTTATTAAATTGGTAAGCCACACAAGGAGAATTAACAATGACGTGTTTCTATATATAGATTTGTTGACGCGAAGGGAAAACTGGTTCTCGCACAAAATAACAAGCTTACAATTAGATTCTGCAAAAAATGAATGAAGAGTGGTAAACGCTAATTTTATGTAAATTTTTTAGTCTGTAATTAGATTTATTAAATTAATTCCTGTCAAACTTTAATGATTAGCTGCTTTTAAATGAATGATAATTATTGTTGATAATTCCGTATTGTGTTAAGAAAATATAGTTCAAGGAAAGTATTTGAAATTAAGTAAATTGTAAACACCCAGAAGCACAAAGACCGCTAGAATGAAATTTCACCGAAAATCGCCTTGGGTTCTCTCGCAGACGTCCATGCTTTCCATTAATATATTGCGGCCAAAAGAAACTGCGTACTTTACTGTGGAGTTTGCTGAATAAGTCATTTGGGAACTTCAGGTGTAATAATCCATATATTCATTGCATTAAAATATTTCCCTTTCTGTTTTATTTCTTTGACATTATTGATACCAAAGAGATGACATTTCAGGCTTTCTGGAAAGCCAAACTTGTTTCCAACTTTCAGTTTGTAAACATGTGTCCGACTTTTGGGACACACTAATAACCGGATATACGAAAGACCTGATATTTACCTGATGTTTTTATTTTAGATTAAATGACAATATTGAGTAGTTTCAAATACTTATTTAAATACTTTATGACTTTGATGCATAATGCTATACAAAAATTCGTTTGTTTGGAATATTTACTGACGATTTTGAATCAGGTCAAATAAGGTTTTTAGTATATCAGGTCTTTAGTACCTTCCCATTTCCCACAATGCCGGGCGTTGTTTACAAACAAGAGGCCCCGAAAAGACTTCCTCTAAACTAATGCAGAAATATTTTGATTTTACTTATTGCTGTGTACATCATCACATTATATTAATTATTTGAATAAAAAGAAAACAGAGAAACACCGAATCAAAACAATATCTTTCAGATGCATCAACTAAAACTATGCCCAGTAAAGGCTAGGCTATAGAAAACAACTTGTTCTTGTAAGGTTTCTCACATATTTGTTTTATAAAAAACTAATAAATATAGCTTGAAGTTTATTTCTTTTTATATCAAACGACAAGATTTAATCAGTTCGAAATTATTTCAGTCAAACTTTTTTTATAATATACCAATATTTTTAGCTATAA